GGTGAATGGCGGCACCTACCACCACTTCCTTCTCGTAGCAGGCGGCGGCCATGTTGTCGGGTGCCTCCTCCTCCTACTATCCGGGCAATTCCGCCGGCGCGCCGCCGTGGCCGTCCCTTCTCGCACGCCCGACGCTGACGACCCACGATGACCCTCGAACGCTAGGCCCTCATGACGCGAAACTCTCGCGATGATTTTCCTCGACGACGGTCCTCTTCTCCGTCCGCTCTTCTCCGTTGTCTCGAACAACGTTTTGATTATCCCGTTTCGCCGTCCCCTCGTTCGTCGTCGTCAAAGCGCGCCGCGGAAGCGAGGAAGAGGCCGGTTGAGATTGTATTCGTCCTTGCGTTGTTGAAAACAATGACGATGACGATGACGGGGACGAAGTTGCTGGGGTGGTCAGTGACGACCACGACGATACTCCCCGACTAGACTCACGCACTCTCGAGCGAGTCGGAGTAAAAGGATATAGCTCATCGCCGCGGTATAGCCTTAGCCAAGGGTTGGACCAAAAGGATATATCCAACACCGAGGAAAGCTCGATTCCGAGACTAGTTCAGCGCGTGCGACAAACGTATTGTAGTATTATACTATCGCGCATGTTTCTTTTTTTCTTTTATTTCGGACAAAAAGCTCATTCTAGTGTGCCAATTACGTACGGGGGCCCCTATTACTCTCCTTAGCGTTTAATGCTCGTTCGTTCAGGACGGTCGGTCTTCTCTCGTCACCGTTCGCTGTCAGGACCACCCGTTCTGCAGCCCTCTTCCTTTCTCCCTACCTTTTCTCTCTCTCTCTCTCTCTCTCTCTGTCTCTCTCACTCTCTCTCCCTTTTCTTCCTTCTTCCCGACTCCCTCCCTCTCTCTCTCTCTCTCTCTTCGTCTACCTCACTGACCGGTGTCTTCTTCGTCTCTCCTTGTTCGCGGCCACCTCTCACGCGTGCTTCACTTCACTGTCACGAATCGCTCGAGGGTCCGGGTCGCGCAACCCGGTCGTCGCCGATGCCCCGCTCGCGGATCAGCACCCCGCGCCGCGTGTCAGCTTCTCGCGAGGCGAACCCGTGGGAACCCCGTCGCGTAATCAGCACTGGAGTATCGTCGGGGTGTCGTCGGGCCCGTGCCGACGTCCGACTGACTGACTGGGCGTAGTAGCGCGTTCGGTTCGCTCAGTCGCGACTCGCGTCTCGCGTCTGTGTGTGCGCCGTCGCCGTCTATATCGTGCGACGCATGGGTCCCCCGGTTCGTTCCGCCTCCTCGGATCGTCTCTTCCTGCACGTCTCTCTCTCTCTCTCTCCCTCACGTGCACCCTTATACCGTATGTACAAAAACCACGGCGACCGTTTTCCACCCTCGCGTCCGCGTGTACGATCTACGATTCGAATGGACGTGTCGGGCACGTCCTACACACCGCGGCGTGCGGACGCGTGAAACGTGCGTGCGTACGTGTTATGTATGTATTTTTTTACATTTACATATAATGTATGTATGGGTGTTTGTATGTGCGTGTGTGTATGCGCGAAGCGCAACGCGGGCAGATGAACGCGGCTCGATCGTCGCGCACTGACAGCCGAGCTGCGACTGAGAGCCGAGTTCCTGGGGGACCCTCGACGGGCTCCCCTCCCGACGCTCGACGCCCGACGGACGCTCGCCTCGCCGGCACTCACGCGTGGTCGATCGTCGAGAGCGGGCTAATGCCGGGTTTACACGCTCCGAAAGCGACGAGTGTGAAACGTCCAATTTTTACGGTTTAGAGGATCCACATTTATTTATTCGTACGCGCTTCGAGACACTTGAAAGAAATTTGAATTTGTTTCTGAAAATTTTTATTTAATTGTACGTCACTTATTAAATTGTCGAATCAAAACCGCTTGAATTTTTCTCTTACAATACAATAATATATTTTTCATTTACTTTTTTAATAATACACTTATTGTTGTTCTAATTAATATTAATATAACATAACGGGGTATGTATATTGTTCGGAGTAAAATTGTCATCAGAGAATATCGCCTAATTGGAGTCGTAACGTGGTGTTAAAAGACGGATTTAAATCCCCTTCATCGCACTGCGCTTCGTTTACACTTTGTGCACTCGGAACGAAATAATTTCCGAGGTTCATGGAAGAGAGAGAGGAAGAAAGAAAATCTCTCTTGTCAGAAAGTTTGGAAGAAAATTTAAAGAGATGGATTTTTATTCTTGGGAAAACGCGCTGGCCTATCACACGTTTAGCAGTACTGCACCGGCGCTGCTGTCTGTGCTGTCCACCAGTCCACCACTGCGAGCCGCAAGCGAGAGTGCGACAGAGTGCGAGAGCACGTGAGGTGAGGGACGTTCTGACGCCGTGCAAGTCAGTGCATCACGTGTAAGTACCGTCCAGGATTTCTGTGATGTCCACTCCTCTGTACGCGAGGTCGACATGAGCGGCGAGTCGGCGCTTCATCGTAAGATGTATTACTTAGACGTTTCTCTGTTAGTACATTCACTATTTCATCATACGTAGATCACGGCTAGTCACTGCATGACATAACCTAGACGCGCGACTCCTTCGAATTTCAATCTCATTGTCGAGCGAGCGCGACGACCATCGGCGTCGAGAACCTCCTTCTTTTTCTTCTTCTTCTTAATTAATGGCTCCTGCCTCCAGTGAGCGGAGAGGCAATACGGCCAGATCACATCGTGTAGAAACTAATGATAATGCGATACAGTTGCACAGTCAAAGCCGGCCACACTTTCAAAAATATACAAAAGGTTGATGCAACACTCGAAGCGAGACGAGACACACGTCCGTCCCGGTCGAGCTGCCACCATAAATTTTTTTGGCGCCGAGAATCGAGAGATTTGCATGCTTAGAAAACTCCTATCTGCAATACATGATACAACAAAGCTTATTTCTATTTGTAGAGAAATTCCATCTGATCCCGATCTGATAGTGTCTCCTGTGTATCTCAAGAAGAACATTCTGGAAGCCGTCCGATCGCTGTTTGGAGAGGAAGGAGCCAAGAGTCCTGTAGACATTCTAAAGCTCTCTCCTGAAAAGCGTAGATTTGTCCTACGCTGTCCAGATAACAGTTACGTCCGACTGCGAGCGAGTCTGACTCTGAGTACAAAGTACGAGGGAAAGACTTGCGTGTACACGATTCATCGAGCATCGCCGAATTTATTGTCGTTTACTGCCGACAGTAGGACGTTCCAGCACGGAGATAGTCCCTCTTGATTCTTCGCCATGCCACTGATACGTAAAGAGGGCAAGGACACCATTATCTTCGCGTCTAAGGAGGATCATGCAGTACCCAGCAAAATCAGTCTTCCTGAACCGGAGCCCAGCCCCGGGCTGTTGTTGCCCAACGGTGAGATCAATTGGAACTGCCCGTGTCTAGGAGGCATGGCGACTGGGCCATGTGGTTTAGAATTCCGTGAAGCCTTCACCTGCTTCCACTATTCCACCGTAGACCCAAAGGGCTCGGACTGTCGCACTGCGTTCGAGACGATGCAGAGCTGTATGTCGCAATACCCGGCTCTGTACGAGAACAAGGGCAGGTTGACAAACGACTTGGAAGACGACGAGATTGAGAGAGAGGTGGAACAGAAGAAGCAGCCACAGGAGGGTAGTGAGGACAAAAGAAAGGTGGTGGTTGCTAGTCAAGGCACGGCGGATTAGCAATAGTAGTCTCTTACATGTATCTTACTATCTTAATTACTTTAAGAATTTAATTTTACCTGTTGCCTGTATAGTTCAAAATAAATTTTTTGAAAGAACATTTGCAATTAAAGTTAAATCTATTAAGTTTACGAACAATTTAGAGCAAGTAAAATTGTGGCTCAAAATAATCCGGGGTCCTCCGAAGAAAAACTTTACTGCTATACATATGAGTGAAAAATGCTATATTTGGTTCTTCGTATTAAATAATATTTCTTGAATTTTCGTGAACTTGTACAATTTCCAGTGCATCGATTATTTGTTGCAAAACAGTCTTAAACCGAAGCTGGAATAGTAATATAACATACTAAATTTCACTATATTTAAATCTTATACATTCTCTTTGCAAACTAATATAACTCGGAATGAATTTCAGTTCTGTCTGGAAAAAAAAACTTTATTTTTCTTTGTATTTATAATTTATATTACAACTTTCACTTTTATTCTTTTTCCTCTTCTTCGTAATACGCAAATACGGATATATTTCAGTTTAAATATAGAAAATGTGAAAAGAAATACCAAACTAAAATGGAAAGTATCTTATTAGTTGTATCTACTTTTTCCTCATTTAAATCTGTCTTCTTTTCACGGTACACTTTATTTAAGGAATGTCTTTAGGAGATGCACTATAAAAGTTTTCTCTAAAATTAACTCTGTTCTGCACTCGGAGAGACAATACAATTCTTTCCAATCTATTACACAATAGTTCTTCGAGTAATATCCTAAGGACGCCCACAAAATGTTTTAGAATACCCTCTGGACATCCTTAGGACATCTCTTGTGTTGTATAGGAAGGGATCCTTCACAGGTAAATCGAATAAATGTTAAATAAATACAGAATATTATAAAAAATAAGAGCACGGAGTCTTGTATGACATCTTGTACAAAAAAATGAGCCAATCAAAATCTTTCACATTTCCTACTTTTTCATGCAATAAAAGATTTTGATTAGAGTTGATTTTCTTATATTTTACGTTCACCATGCATTATGCAAAGGTCTCTTCTCCTGCCTTGATTATGATTTCGTGAGAAACTGAGAGATGTTAATCAACGCAGCGCGCAACGGTTCAAATCTGCCGCGTGCCGTCTAGGTCGCTCGCTACTTCTCGCAGACGTCGCCCGATGGCGGAGTCTGGCTTCGTGACGTCGTCGACGTCGAGCGCGCGCTCGTCCCACCCCTGTGACCCCTCGGATAGTCATTCCATTCCGCTCGCGTATGTAGTCGTGACACCAGCATCGCGGATTATCGGGCGCAACGCGATAATAACAGAGTCCCGCCGTTCGCCAGTGGCCGTTCACGGTAGCGACAACGTCTCGTTCGTCGTGGTCGTTGACGGTATGAGTTTGTCGTTACTCTCGCGGCCCGTGCGCCCGTCGGAATTAGTGTTGAGAAGCGTCGTTGCCCGTTGTCCGAGTTGTCTCTCGGTCGCAGCCGTCGCAGCGCAGCGCGACGTCGAGCAGTGACACGCGTCACGCGTCGCGTGCGAGCATCGAGTATCGATCACCGATACCGACGCCGAGACGGATCTACGGAGCGACAGAGACAGAAGGACTTATAGACGGTGAACAAAGTGCGGTGAGCTAAGCTAAGTTTCCGCCAAGTCGGCCGGTTAGAAAAGAGCGGAGCTCGTTAGCGCGCGCGCGCGCGCACGCCCCCGGATACGTTCCTTGGCAGTGACCGAGAGTGTCCTGGTTTTCGTGCGCCGGTGCTGCTGGTGGAGAAGCGCGTCGCGATCATCCCTTGGTCCACCGTAACGTCGCCTCATCATGGACACCCATAAGAAGGAGAAGAAACACAAGGAGAAAAGGAGGTGAGTCGCTTGCGCGCGCGCGCGAGAGAGAGAGAGAGAGAGAGAGAGAGAGACAAAGAGAGAGTGCGTGAAAGTCGCGTCTTTATTTTCGGATCGACCGTATGGATCCAGGATGACGTGAATTTTCACTTGCGGTTGTATCGTTCGAACGTCCGACAAACGTTGACACGCGATCTGTTTTTTTATTCCCGCCACTAGACTGTATAAAACTGTCTTTCTTGTTTTCGCCAAACGTATCAAACATGTATCTATCTCACTTTAAGTTCCAAAAGTAAATACTAGTTTAGCCATAAAAAATCAGATTTATGGTAATATCGCTTGTAATTCGTAAACTCAATGGGATTTGGGCGAACATAGGAGAGAGAGAGAGAGAGAAACGAGAAAAACGTGCGTGTATGTGTGGTTTGACGCAATCGCTCCGCTTCTTTGATCTACGAGATCGTCGCTCTGTCTCTTTTTCTGATTACAACGCTTCATCTCACTCGCACTTCTCGGCGGCGCTCGTTTCCGTCTCTGTTTAACGCCACGTGATCCCATCTTCGGTCTCTGTCGCTCTCGTGGATTCTTTATCGGACCTGTCGCTTTCTCGTTCTCTCTCTTTCTATCTTTCTCTCTCTCTCTCTCTCTCTCTCTCTCTCTCTCTCCTTCCTCTGCTGTTAAGTCTCTTAAATCGGACGAAAGAAATTCTAAACAAGTGTCAATAAGATGCCTCGTCTTTCTTTTTTTATTATCCAATCTGTCTTGTTTTGATTGGTCTTTAAGTTATTTACGATACCGCACTGTTGCTCCAGTTTTGCTCTCCCTTCGCATCATTACGACTTATTTACGACTTGCTACTTTATTAGGATTGATCTAGTTTCTTTATTCTCTTATTTATACGTCATTAAGCTAAATTTCTGCTGTATTGTAGCCACCTATGACTTTGTCTATTAACTTGAGATTTGATTCTTCGAAAATCGCCATTTGTTTCTGACTCGAATTTTTGAATTTGAATCAAATTTAAAAAAATAACGTATTATATTTCTACATCTTCAGAGTTGCCATATAATTGGAAATCAGAGAAATTAGGGAAATGTCAGAAAAAATTTTGCAAAATTTTCTAGAAAATTAAAAGGTTTTACTTTAAAAACGCTTAGTATGGCTACATCACATCTACGCAGTTTTGGAATATCACCAACTTAACAATTAAAAATGCAAAAAGTATCATCGGTACATTAATAGTAATTAACATTCTATGTTAAATAGTTCTCTCAACAAAATATTTGACGGTTTCCAAATCAGGTAAAAAAATTTCGAAATATTCAAAAAAATTACGAAATTTTGTCTGAAAATTAAGAAAAAGCTAGAGTATTTTAGAATGAAGAATTTGTGGAATCCTAATTTCCTTATTTAATGTCCCCAAAAGGAATCATTTTTTTCCTGTTTTTTCTCTTTAATTTTTCAGCGACACGCTCGTATGCGAACGATCTTTTTTATGTCGTGGCGCAACAAGCTCGTGAAATGTACACGCAATATAAACTACCGCTTTTCGAACGTAATATTTACTACTTCAAATATCGTCGATACGACATCACCGATAGTCGTTTTTAAAAAGAGCCCGAGGATCGATTTCTCTTTTTTCTTGATCGCGTGCACGCGCGCGATCGCAAAGCGTTTATTATACAATCGTCGACGACCCCGGTTATATTCCAGTGTTTCATTAGGTGCTATTACGTAAAATGATAGAAGTCTCGGTTATCCAGGAATATGTCCCGCATTTATATGTTCTATATTCACACGCGTAGTTGTGAAAATTTCATCATATTGCATCATCAACGGCCGAACGTACTCAATCTTTATCAGTGAACAAACAACAGAACAATATGTTGCTATTGTAATATTTGTGATTGCTTTCGATTAATTGTTTAAATAGATGGATAAAAATTTTTAGTTATTTCCTTGATGAGTCATCATCTATCGATTTCGTCGATCATTTTTATATATTATAAAATTATAGCAAGTATATTATCTTCACTAACAATAAGTAAAAAAATAAAACTCTACAGGATGAGCTCGGATGTTCCGGTCAGACTGTGGAGATTTTATAGATTTAATTTTGAACAAAAAGTTTCCTATAAACGTAGATTGGAAAATGCTAATTTCTTAAAAGTTAGCATCCAAAAATTCTATGAAAACATGGTCTTTTTTATATATTTTTATAAATATCAGAGAAAGTACGCGTTTTTAACGAAAATAATTAGAAAAGTTGAAAATTAAGTTATCTTTTAAATGAGATGAAAATGCGACACATGTTTATGGGAAACTTTTTGTTCAGAATTTTTCCTGAAAAAAATCTTAAAGTTTGGGCGTAGAACATTAAAGCCCACTCTGTATAATAGTATACATACACAAAGAGAATTTTCTTTTAAAATTTACCCTAAAAATATGATAATCGTACAGTACAATACAATATTTTAAAGATTTTTACCATGCACTTCAGTAAAATCAGTCAAACATATTTTATACTTTATTGTAGTTTTATTAATGAATGAGAGAGTTTACATTAAAATTCTTCGAAATACAATGTTATCCCACGACTACTCTATTTTCAGAGTAAACTCTAAGAAAAAATTCTCTTCGTGTATCAGTAGAATCAAGATTCTGCAACCGAAATATTGTTTCGATATTTTCAGCCATTTAATTTGAATTAATTATTTCCTCGATAAAATGATAAAAAAACTGTTTACGGTTTTTCGACCTTGGAATTGAAAAAAATTATTGAAGAATGTACGTTGCGAAATAAAGTCAATT